GAGAGAGAGAGAGAGAGAGAGAGAGAGAGAGAGAGAGAGAGAGAACAAGAAAAGGGTGGGAAGGTCTTAAGGACAGAAGTAATAAGGGTCGGATACAGACAGACAGACAGACTGATCGATTGATAGACAGGGATAAAGAAAGACAGATCAAGGAACAGGAGAGAGAGAGAGAGAGAGAGAGAGAGAGAACAAGAAAAGGGGGGGGAGGGGGCTTTATGTTTTGATCCCCATATTAACTAGTCGTGAAACTCAGCCTACCGGTAGTTTAAAAATCAAGACAGGCCACTGCTACTCCTTGGCTCCTTCTAACTGCTGTCTTTCAGACACACCCCTGACATTATGGTAGGAAAGATCTACACCTAGCCTTCTCAGACAAGGGCGAAAAATCTCGGAGGTCCCATGTGCAAGTTGAACACGTTAAAGATCCCTTGGTGGTTTAAAATCGATGAGAGTAACCTTCGGCTGCCACCCGCGCAATATTCGTTTTTAGTTTTAGTAAGAGTATTATGGCAAGTTTTAGTAAGAGTATTACGGCACCTGCAACACAATAAGGTCATATAAGGGCCGAAGTTTACGTGTGTTACAAGAGAGTAACAAACACAAAATAGAAGGAGGAGAGATAAGGACGATAGATGCTGGATAGGAAAAAAGGAGCAAACCACACCAGAGCACCCGCCAACCACCCATGGCCAATATTTAAGATTTCCTATCAACTGAAAATGTTAAATGTGCCCCGCGCGCTCATATGACCTCATGCAGTTGCGAGCGCCGTAAAACACTTACGAAAAATAAATAAATAAGTAAATAAAAAAATAAAAAATGAAAAACCGGCCCAATTGAAGAAAATCTAGAGGTCCCGCGGACTCCATTGTAGGTAGTATTTTCTAGAGAAAAAAAAAATTACACACACACACGCGAGCGTACACACACACGCGCGCACACACACACACACGCGCGTGCGCACGCACACACACACACGCACACACACACACGCACACAAAAAGGCAGATGAATTCACCTGTTCCATTCTCTGTGCGAACTGTTCAGAGCTGACCTTGCCCTTCATGTCAATCATGACAATGTTAGACTGGACGCCGTCCATCGCGATGCTACACACAGGGTTATCTCCCATGGCGGTCAAACCTGGGAGAAAGACGTTTAGTTTTAGTTTAATTTTAGTAAGAGCTTTACGGCACTTGCAACACAATAAGGTCATATCAGAGCCGAAGATTAGAGGTGTTACAAGAGAGTAACAAACACAAAAAAGGAGGGGAGATAAAGACCATAGGTGTTTGATAGGAAAGGGGAAGCAAACCACACCAGAGCACCCGCCAACCACCAACGGAGAAAGACGGACAAAGAAAAGAAATCAAGTAACAAACAAAAAAATGCTGAAAGTGTGAGGATGTGTTCTGCACTCTATATCAGCCCTCATAAACACCTACTAAAATGAGTGGTGAAATAAGGCGCTCGTCAAAATAATAACACCCACACACAACCCATCCCCCCCACCCACACACACAAAGTGTCCAACACACCCACACACACACACACAAAGTGTCCCACCAACCCACACACAGAGTGTCCCACACACACACACACAACCACAGAGTGTCCCACACACACACACAAAGAGTCCCACACACACACACAGAGTGTCCCACCCACCCACCCTGGGCAATTCTCGCCGCCCGGTCGTGGTCATCTGCCAACAGGTCAACCATCTCCTCCAGGGCGACCAACATCGGCGCAGCCACCACTCCCGCCTGCCTCATGCCTCCGCCCAACGCCTTCCTCGCCCGTCGGGCCCTGCGGGAGGAGAGAAACACGAGGAAAAGTCAGTCACAGGAAGTTTTAGTTTTTGGAAAGGTTTTTTCAGCACTTGCAACACGAATAGGTCACACAAGCGCCGAAGATAAAAGGTGTTACAAGAAAGTGACACACAAAGTTTAGCAGTTAGTTTCAGTAAAGTTTACAGCACTCGCAACTGCATAAGGTCAGTGTTTTAAACTGGTGTCGTACCCAAGGGTTTTTCACTATAGGAGCCTTCGGTACTGTAAGCATTTAAGTCCTGAGTACAAAAAACACGCAGTAAATTGTGAAAAGGAAGGACATCATGGCAAGAGAAAAGAGGGAGTTTTCTTTTTGTCTGAGCAAGTTAGTTTTAGTAAGTGTTTTACGCCACTTGCAACACAATAAGGTCATATGAGTGCCGAAGATTAGAGGTGTTACAAAAGAGTAACAAACACAAAAAAGAAGGAGGGAAGATAAAGACGATAGATGTTTGATGGGAAAGAAGAAGCAAACCACACCAGAGCACCCGCCAACCACCCACTTTGTCAGAGCAAAAAGAATCACAGCAACAAAATGCTTGTTACTTCAGACAGGGATAAAGAAAGACAGATCAAAACAGGAGAAGGAAGGAAAAGAAGCAGGACATATCACTAACAGTGTGCCTCACAATGATTGTTACTTCAGACAGGGATAAAGAAAGACAGATCAAAACAGGAGAAGGAAGGAAAAGAAGCAGGACATATCACTAACAGTGTGCCTCACAATGATTGTTACTTCAGACAGGGAAAAAGAAAGACAGATGAAAACAGGAGAAGGAAGGAAAAGAAGCAGGACATAACAGTAACAGTGTGCCTCACAATGATTGTTACTTCAGACAGGGAAAAAGAAAGACAGATGAAAACAGGAGAAGGAAGGAAAAGAAGAAGGACATAACACTAACAGTGTGCCTCACAATGATTGTTGCTTAATACCAAAAAAAAAGTAAGACAGATAAACAGAAACAACAGAAGGAAGGAAGAGAAGTAGGACCTATAAGTGGCACCCTCCAGCCACCCGCAAAAGAGCTCTCCAGTAGAGGGATATATATTATTTCACAACACACACACAAATGACACAGATTTATGTCAGCGCAAGTCTCCATCTACTCACAAGTGGGTGGTTGGTGGGTGTGCTGGTGTGATTTGCTCCTTCTTTCCAAATCAAACATCTATTGTCTCTATCTCCCCTCCTTCTTTTTTGAGTTTGTTACTCCCTTGTAACACCTCCAATCTTCAGCACTTATATGACCTTATTGTGTTGCAAGTGCCGTAAAACTTTTACGAAAAAAACCTCCCATCTACTCACATAGCAATGAATTCCTTAGAGCCGGCAAGTATCGAACCAGAAGGACAGCACAGACCCTGGGAAGAAAAAAAATCCACATCCAAAGACGTCAAATATCTTCTTTTTTTTATTTTTTAGAAAGAGTTTTACGGCACTTGCAACACAATAATAAGGTCATATAAGTGCCGAAGATTAGAGGTGTTACAAGAGAGTAACAAACACAAAAAAGAAGGAGGGGAGATAAAGACAATAGATGTTCGATAGGAAAGAAGGAGCAAACCACACTAGAGCACCCGCCAACCACCCACCGCCAAATATCTCGTCTCAAGATGTCCACATCATGACATCCTAAAGTACAGCAAATCAAACAGACAGGTGACGTACTCAATCATCTTCTTTTTTTTATAGTAGAGGGTTTTACGGCGCTCACAACTGCGTAAGGTCATATGAGCGCCAAGGGGTGGGTGTCAACAGAGAAGTCCTTACAGGGAATCAGACTTACTCTGCTCACCTCTCTAGCTTCAACAGCACAAAGTCTGCTTCAACTATCAAGGCAACCGGGAAATAGCAGGTCACAAGAGTGTGACAAACATACAAAAGAAGTAGAGGGAAAATGACAATAGTAAGGATTAGGAAAGAAAAAGCAGCAGTTCCCTGTCGCAGATCAGGCACAGTTATGAGTGAGACATGAATCAGCCCATTTACAATTCTACTATGCTTGAACAAGAAATGTCTCCCCTTTGGGAAAGGCCTAAAGACACTACAGTCAGTGGCACCGCCCCGGGGGGAAACTCAATCATCCGTGCGACGAGACAGAACAAGTCCTTCTATAAGAGACACTACGAGCTAATCAGGTGGCCGGAGGCTGGATCACTTGAGTCAATTAGAAAAAGGTTTTACCAACAGCCAACAGCCTCAACACAAGAAACTTTGTTTCTATAAATAAAGCACATGAAGAATATAGCAATGCATATATATATATATCTATCTCTCTCAAAATTAAGTAAAATATTGCGAGTAAAAAGCAGAAGTCAATCCATTTTTTGTGCCAACACTTCTAGTCTGATACAACCTTTCAGTGTTTTTCAAAAGAGACAGACAGTGATCTTTTAAATATTTTGGGGTATTACAAGCATGGAAATTAATATGCTGCTTTTTTCGTTTAGTAGTAAGGTTTTACGGCGCTCGCAACTGCATAAGGTCATATGAGCCCCAAGGGGAGGATGTCAATAGAGAAGTCCAAACGGGGAATCAGGCTTATTCTGCTCACCTCTCTAGCCAGGTATATATGTCACTTTGGATTTTTTACTGAAAGACGGTTTACCCCCTTGGAGATAATTAATCTGAGGTAAGGGTTGCACATATGTTCAAGAAATATTTTGTTGAAATTTAAACTCTAAATAGTGACAAAACCAAGGGGAAAAAAGTAAGTACATTTGTTAAAAGAAAGGCACAATTCTCTTTTCTCTCCTGAGCAATTTCGCCATAGATCTGGGCTTAGAGCAGTCAAACAGCTCGCCAACAACAGAATCTCTTACTTTGCTGAAGGCGATGGAGACAGTATCAAAGTGCTGAGCCACCTCCGACACCGGGACCTTGAGAGCCGTGGACGCATTGAACAGGCGAGCTCCGTCCAGGTGAAAACTTAGGTTGTTCTTCCTGGCGATCTCCTCGACCTGTGCGCAGAGAAAGGAAGGGATTTCACACTTGTGTGACATGATTGTGTTGTATGTGACGTAAAACTCTTACAAAAAAAACAACTACAGAAAGGACACAATGTTAGGTGTAAGGGACCGCTCATAAATGATGTCAGCTAAAATTTGGCCAAAAATGACCCACCCAACCCTCCCCCTTTTCACCTTCTGTCATCTTTCCCCGGACCCCCTACC